AAATGGCGCAGATTACCTCGAAGGGAGCTGGGTACTGACTGCTACATTTCAGAATCGGCAAGGATTCGAATCGATCCGAACAGAACCATATAAATTCAAAGAACAGACCCATAAACCCATTGTTTTCTTTGTCCTTGCTAAAGTTCGTTTGCATAGAGCCTTGCAGAGAATTTCGTGTTAGCAAATTTGAAGAGTGCTTATATCGTTTCACTTTCTATAAAATCAAAAAGACGTATTAAAAAACACGCAGATCTCATTCAACTAGCAATGCGCAAGGATTAAAGGTAGATTTCTAATATTTTACACATTTTATGATCACATCCAATGGTTCAAATAATAAAAAAAAAACTATCAGTTTGAAACTCAGTTAGTGACTTGTTTTACCGAGGCACGTAAAGCACAGATTAAATATTCTCCTCATAATGAATAGTTTATTATGACAACAAATGATTACATCAGTGTTTGGAGCAGGAAGTTTCAAATAGAATGAATCATGGCATGGAAATAGTGCGTAGATGATTTATTTCGCTACATCCAAACAAGGCTTTTCGTCTGACGATGTACAAATGTTACCGATTGCACACGAAACCTGACAGATACGACGGATACGCCATTCGTCCTGGTTCACTTATCCTATTTCTGGCTTCTTGTTTTTATTTTCTGTGTTTTATTATAAATTTAATATAAATAGAAATCTAGATCTATAATTTACGTTCGAGCAAAATACACGCGTGTGAGTAATGGGGCGGAATTGTGACTGAAACAACGAAAAACAAATCCCTTCAATTGTAGCATAGAACTAGAGAGGATAATGTAAGGCAAAAAAGGACCGTTCCTTTAGCCCTTTCGCAATATACTAATTTAATTTTACGAACAAGACAAACACCTAACTTAACAGCTTTGTTTCGAATTAGGTTTACGATGAATTTTCATACGACAGAGAACATGGACGACTGTATACTGAACAAGAGGATTCTATTTTTAGATACAGCTTTACAGTTTATTATAAAGAATACGTTGTCTAATAGAAAAATCGACGACGTCAGTTGCAGACGTCGTTCTGCGTCGGTACGTACTGATATCGTGCTAAATTCAAGATAGAATGGTTATTGTTATTATCAAAGAAATCTGTGTGAAGGCGACAGCCGCGGTGGAGCAGGCAGATCTCTCTCTTGCTTTCGTTCTTCTAATTTCTTCAGGCGCCCGTTGTTTATTTTGTATACGCTTCCCCCCCCCCATGACTTCCCCGTCGATTATTAGCTTCTGTATTTCTTCTCTTATGCTATTGAGCTGCTCCTTTGACTTTATTGCGATGACCCCAATACGATACGTTTGTGGCTAAAATCTATTCTGGATACAGTTTTGCGGCTTGCGCAACGAAATGACATTTGTGTTATAAAAAAATCACATATACGAATAATAGCAACGATTACATATCGAAAAATGTAATCCTTGCAAAAAATTTAGGTGCTTTGCGATTTCAGAAATGTTATTATCGCTGAGCACGTGGCTCAGAGGTATTAATTTGAAAATAACTTAGACAACTATTCATAAAACTGTCCTCTATCTCGAATGCGACACCTCATTTCTTCCTGAACAGCCACTGGCAGAACCCCGTACTGAGTGAAGCACTTGCGTTAACTATAGTAATACAAGATCTCAAAATAAAAAAACCAAAGCGCAAATCTTTAAAGCTAACAGCAAAATTGGCTCAGTCACACCGTAACTGCACAGTACATCGCACCTCAAAAAATAATGACGTTGATGATGATCCTTCTTGAAAAGATAACTGCCAGCCTTCTTAAGATAGACAGTTGTTACTACTTTTTTTATTTATTATTGACACCACACCAATGGCACCACTTAACGTTACTGATTTAGGCCGACGTAAGAGAGGATGTACATGCCAACAACAAACCCTTGAATCTACCGAAATCATCGAGTTGCATCCATATGCTGTTTCCTATGTTATTTGAGGCGATCATCAACATAGAAATGAAGGAGATATAGTACACAAGCGCACTCTAGACGACATTCTCGTTTTGGCCATGTAAAAGAACGACGAAGTAAACCCTAATACGCATGAGCACTTGTGAGCCCCACGGTGCCTTACGGCAAATTTTTGCGCGATTAATAGATGAGGTCGTTTTTCCCATACAGTACACGTTCTTTATCCCAACGAGCTTAGCTGTCAGTTAGTGTATCTCAACACGGTTACTAGATCTGAATAAAAATGGTTTTAGCTGAAATATTTTTTAACTAATAACAACTTTAAGCACTTATTTCCTGTTTTAACGAACGTCGTTGAAGCAACTTATAGAAAAGGAAGATCCGAATGCCACATAAAACGGATAGAAATTGTATATATTCAAAATATAAACAACTCGATGTTGCTGGCTAAAGGAACTCGGGAAGTTACCGTTGCTTTAAGATGAGCGAGTTACAGAAACAAATCAATGGTCACTTAGTCGACACAAGATAAGTTTTCTGAATGACGGATTTTGGGCTTCCTGGTTTATTGCCATCGTTAACTAGGGTAGTATACCGCAAATCGGTCGTACTAAAAGAAGGGCTTAACGTAATTATTCTCGACAGCTGAAAAATGCTTACCGATAATTGAACCATAATAATTGAATATAATAAGATACCATAATCGAATGGTTATTAATGGCCAGTCGAATTGGATCGTCAGCATCTGCCCAACGAAAAGCCACAAATAAACTAAAACCACATCGATGATTTTAGTAGCTTCGTAACTTTATATCCAAGGTGAACTTCGATATGGTACGGACAAAATTACTGTTTCGTATATATTGACGCGTATCGTTGACTTCAATATAATTTGCATAGTAATACTAGCCACAACCCCTATACACGGCACAGAGGTCATTTCCCATGAAACCTGCGAAAGTAACCGGAACTGCGCATTGCGAAAGCTTGTCTTGATACTGATTTAAATTATTGCCGACATCTCGTCCAATGCAATGCCATCGCTTTTCGACTCGTATCATCGAATTCTGTACACATTACCCCTGTCTTGCCACGACGAAGCTTCCGGTTGACGCAACGCTATAGAGATGTGCCGGAAAGCCACCGGATAGACTGACTTGCAGTTCTAGCTAACTATATCATAATAGTGTTTCGTTACGTCATTCAACCGATATCAGCCGATTATTAAGTAATATTCAGAACAGAGTTTCTGGGAACTTTTATAACGGATATACGACAACAGGGTGGTTTTCCGCGAGAAGCCACGTTCATATTTCTACTTACATACGTTTTAGACAGATACACGGCGAGCATATACTTGATATGAGTGTATTGCGCTGCTAACCTAGTAGGAATCACGTGATGCCGTTCAGAATTTGAATATTCGTTAACATTACTTTTGAATGATTTTTAAAAAAGCGTTCAATTGTCCTATTCCTCAGTCAGACCTGTTAGAAACATCGTCATGTAATAGTCGCTTTCTTCGCTGACAATTTGTAAAAAAGGACATACAAATTTGTAGCCCATTGTCTGATACACGTCCGCACAAGGCGTGACGTAGGGTATCTGGTATGCTCACCCTTGACTTTAATAATAGGTCTAATTAACCTATAGTAGGTCAATACTGGGTCTCGACCTATGATGCGTAACGGCTTTTCATGGGATCTACTTCAAGTGCTAGCTACCTGCCACCGTCCGTTGTGCAGAAGCGCCTCGATCAGGCACTGCGAACAAAAGCACGATCCCACGATTTATTTGCAGTTATGACAAAAGAGGACATCGCGCCAGATTTCGTCTGCTATCCTTTCACGGACTGATCCTCAGGACGCTACGCGGTTTAAATAGAAAATTGTACGTGTTAATTGAACCTCGGCGAATATGCACCGAACTTTGCTGATTGCACCATACGAAAATAAAATATGAACATCATTCGTGTACTTGCTGGCTATTTATTTGAAGAACACTTGAGTTCAATCTCTGCAGTTTGTAGACCTCACGTATGTAACTGCAGAAAGCAGCAAGTCATTGAACATTGAACATTCGCTCTACTTACAAAGAGCCTTCGCTTTAAAAGCTACGAGCAATCATAGGAAGGCAGGACTGTATCTATGCAAATTTAGCATTAAAAACTCGTTCACTGAATAAGAAAACATTCATTACACTGCGCTGTATTGTTCTAACATATACCGCACCATGTCCACAACAGAAAAAATTCACGGAACCGCATTGGCAGAGTAAAGAAGAACCGACAGCCTTGGTTCATAGCATCTTTTTTTTTTTTTTTTTTTATATATTTGAGTATCGCTACGGGTATTTCGAAGTTCACTAATTTCCTACGGATGATTATTATCATCGGTTTGCCTTATTCATCCGTAGTAAAAGTGTGCTAAGTGAGGACAGCGTATCCGCAGCAATCCCAATATGCGACCGTTGAACGGACCGTTGTAGCAAGCTACATATGTATGCAGAAACTTACTTTTGCTAACTGGAGAAGTACTCGAATCGTATCATTCTAGTAGTAATCGTGTGGTCGTCATCGTTATAGCGACGCGCAGTAAAGGCTACGGCACTCGCTTGATCAATTGGTACTTACCACTTTTTCAGTGACTGAATTTAGTATAGCCAATGGAAGCCACGCCGTCGTTGTATAGTCATGCATCCATGGAATAGTATCTAGCAGCTGTGTTCTCTAACTTGTTCCCCTTGCAATCGCTAACACTATCGGACTGGAAAGCTGTTTGTATGGTTTCGCTGGAATTGAAACACAGCTGTTCTTTTCAGATTTTTTTAACGTGTCGTAAGTGTTCGATTTGGCGAGGGTGGGAAAGATCTTGACAATAATTTTTGGTCCCACCATCGTATGCCAGCCCTAGGTAACTTATGGCATGCAAAGTAACTATACCTATATACTACAGCTAGTTTGTTTACAGCGACCGTATGCGATTATTGCCTATTGTAGGTGTACAGATAAGCAAAAACGATTCGAACTTTCAATATGGAGTGTGACTGACCGTGCGATTCGTACGAAAGTTCAAGTCCGTCCCGGCTCCTCAGAACGGCAAAAGCCGCCTTGCCTTCAATACGAAGCTTCCAGGTTAGTTCGGCGATTCCCATGGCATTGGATTCGTCGCATTGGATGTACTGTGCTCAAAGACATAGCGCACACCAAAGATCGCTTGCTGTAAACAATCCTTTATTGTAGGAACTGCACGTCAGTTGTCGCTTCTGAACTCCTCACCGTTCGGAATCACTTTTCGGTTCACTAACATAACCAAACGATGTCCACATAAGTTAATGCACGTTGCAGTTAACAGTAAACAAATTATTTTCTTTTATTATATCGTCATTGATATCATCGCAGCTATTTCTTCTGTAGCCGCACCACTTAACGGGACCTCTATACCCGGTCCCGATCAGCCAGAGTTCAATGGCAGTCCTGCAGGTAGCGACTATCAATACATAACGAAGGTTGCTCGTGTTTACCTTTCCGTCATTTCTCTTCGGTCAGGCCCTCACCAGCGTTTCTGACAATTTTAGCCAGACTTGAGAGAGCGTAGTGGAGAGGTCGGATCAACCCCCTCCATAAACAGACGAATACGATTTAAGCTCTCACCCGTCCGGCGCGGTCACCAAATAAAACAGAATCTTAGCGATACATGGCGCCCTCTACGGATACATTACGAAACGTGCGCGAGACTAACTTGTGCTCTTGGCCGTGTCTGTCGTTCGAAGATGTCCACGCGCCTTTATATCCAACATGTATGTCAGTAAAACAGGACAGAGGTAGCTATTTTTAAATGAGTGACAGGTTCGCAAACACGTATGAAAAACGTCAATGGCTTTTCAGGGAACCCTTCCAAAACCGAATCGTTACTTGCTTGAAAAACTACGTAGCGTCTTACCTATCATGCGCCAATTTTGTGCGAAAGTTTGCCGATCCTACTGTTTTTTAATCAACAAAGACCTGTGATTTTTTCTGATCTGTATGAGTGTAAGGCCAAGATAAGGCGAAATAGTATAAAATGGATATTTAGTAAACCGCACAAGATGTCATGAGCTTTAAGAAGATATTCACTATGCAAGCACTGTCCAAATTCACTTACAAATAGAACATTCATTTAACTTTCTGGCAATTCGTTTGTTGCCAGTATTGCGGTCGATCATTTCTGCTAACTATTTTAACACCAGACAACGGAACTTTTCCAGAATGAGCGTTAGTATCTCTCCTGCTTGAGCTTCAATAATATCGTAACATAGAGTTATGCGCGCTTGAACGCAGAATAATTATTGCTTCTTTTATCTTATTTCAAAATAACTGGAATATGCGAATAAATGGGGGACGTACACAGTGTACGAATCCTGTTAGGTTCAATAAAATTAAAAAACGCACCGATTCTTTCGGCTATATCTTTTCCATGCACCGAACAATATTAATGCTTTAATTACTTATCCTTAGTTACAGCAGCAGCGATAAAATTTCAGTCAACAATTGGCGTGGCAAACGAATTTGTAATTAACATTATTGATAAATATTGCCACGGGTTCGAATCTATTGTTTATTTAGCATTAATTTTAGCGAAAACTTAAAGCAGTTCTGATAAAAACATAACCACAAGATGCACACGTATAATAGTTATTACATAAGTCGATAAACTTGAGAAAAATTGTAACTCACTACGGATGCAATTGTCGTCCACGAAACTCTGATGGATTGACCGAAAGCCGTTTCACTGCCTGACCAGTGATCAGCGCCAAGTGACTGTAGGCAAAAATCAGCGTCATCAGTCGTAGCAACACGTGCAGGACACCAACGAACTCTAGCGGAGCATAGCCCATATGGGTCATTCGCATGGGCCACAAGTGAAATGAAGGCATGCTGGTATGAGTTCCACGTATGCGCGCATCCGTAGCGAATCTGGTTGAACAAAGTTCAGATTACTTACAAAAAGGTGCTCAAAAAACAACCGTATGTCAGAATCATGGTATGTCAAAATAGAGCGTAAAGAAAAATCTCTTCTAGGTTGCCATTGTATGTCATATAGACGCGTATGACTATTATGTGAAATTTGTCGTGTAAATAACTTAATTTTTTTAGGCAATAAAACGAGTGAATCCGAAAGGTATCGAATTTAGTTCTTAGTTATCCTTTTTATTTTGGTGTGTGTCTATGGCTTGTGTACATACACCTACAGGGCGTGTATGACGAGTCGACTGCGTGTGCGTGTGTGTATATCGAATTTTATGGGTTCACATTCCAATGTAGGGCGGTCCTTAGATGGTAAGCATTTAGGTGTATCTATGTATCCAACGCAGTAAATACTTCTATAAACCAGTATCTAATAATTGTGCCAATTTTTTCTAACCGATTGGAATTTTCCAAGATCACTCTAAAATAAATAAGCTGTTGCCTCAGGCATAAACGACCAGGTAGATCATCTCGTACCATACCCAATTGCTACTTTTATTGGTTGTTTGATATACTTGAAATTGGTGATTCAGACTGTGTGAAGAAAAAATGCATAATGTTATTAATTCAGCGTTAGGTACAGCTTTGTGGAAGTCGGAAGTGTCTAACATCATCATTAATATCATGCACAAGTCAAAATCAATATTAAACCTGTTGTATAAAAAAAAACTATAGTACGGTGTGATTTTGACTATAATTTATTGTTTTTAATATTATCCAAAATAGGAACGGTTGCGAGCTTCCCAGGCGCTCTCCGATGAGTCAATATCGCGATATAGTCGTCAGCTTCTACTACCACAAATAGGTCCAAAAGGCATGCGTCGCCTAGCTGACACCCGAGTGCTGCTTGTTGGCGCGGGAGGTTTAGGTTGCCCCGCAGCGATGTATCTGGCCTCATCGGGTATTGGATGCATCGGTTAGTGTTCTGACAAGAAGTCTCTCTAAAAACCCATGTTTGCTTTTCTTTAACGCTTTGATATTTAAACCTCTGTAAATGTACACGCTGTCAACTTATCTCAATTTTACAAATATATTGTGTGAAATGTGAATTACAAAACAAAAGGTTGAAAAAAGTAAAGTCTAAAGCATATGTTTAGATGCGATTTATTTTCTGCAGGCATGTAATTTTAAGCAATTAACTGTTTCGATTTTCAAAAAACCTTAATCTGATAATCCATACAGTCGTATCTGACTCGTATTCATATATCGGTTCACCAACGCAAGTGTATTGTTATTTATTGCTTGCAGGCATCGTTGAATATGATACCGTGGATTTATCGAACCTTCATCGACAGATTGGACACAAAGAAACTTCGGTAGGAAAAAGTAAGACGAACTCTCTGATTGAGTCACTAAAATCTCTCAACTCGAGTGTCAAGTACCTCGCATTCGAAACTGCCCTTAACAGATGCAATGCTATGGATATCGCTAAAAAGTACGTTACGTTATGAAAACAAGCAAAAGTGTTACACTGTATTCATCATTCATCAACGAAAAAACAATACGATAATGTATATGTATAGATTATATTTGATTAATGTTTGTGTAATTTATTGAAATGCTCTTTCCCCTATAGATATGAATGACGTCGTCTGTCTGGTAGTATATACATAAACAAATAAAGATCACTAATTTTGACTGCATCGAAACCTAGGACCAGTTACAATACAAAAACAACTATAATTCATTTTTCGTTTCGTATAACTTCCTACATAGCCTGCACACGTTTATCTATTGTAGAATCAGGTCCTATGTATTTCCTGTATTACATGTTAGTAATGTTAATGGAGAAGTCAGTAATGATGAACTGCCTAGTTCAAGTACTGCCTTGGGTTCATTATATAGAGTAACCCTATCAATACAAGTAGGCGACTCTCTCTCTATTTCAGATCGCAGCGCAAGAGTAATTATTGAGGATAAATGCTGGACATAGCTTCGTCTGCTAACGCTCGTTTAATCAACGGGTTGTTACAATTGTTGGGGGGTAGAGTTGAATCATTAAACCAACAGCTTTATCAGCGGGGCCATTAAATATAATACAATTTTAGACTAATGTAAATGACTATGTAATTTCTCAAATGGAGAGTACGAGACTGTAAAAGCCAACATAATAATGACGTGCCTCATATCTTTCGGTTACTGATGTAATTACAAAAACGTTTATAACCGATATGTGCTATATAATTTGTTCTCGCTTTCGTTATGTAGACGGCTGCACAGTACTAAATATACGAAGCTCAAAAATAATATTGAAAACTTGAAACAGCTTATGACTTAGGATTAACCTTCTGCTGAAATAAAGTAACGCCCGCAAAAAGCTTTCATGAGACCTCGAATTGTACCAGAGGTATCGCTCTAATTTCAAAACAAAAAAAAAGTATATAAATGCAAAAAATTGAAAGGCGGCGATCATTCGATGCCTGATAATGTCCGTAAATCTAAAAGTCAAAAGGACAATTTTGAGCACATCTCTGCATATGTCTATTCATGCCTGGCGCCTGAGGCGCATATTATATATAATATAGTGTTTTACTACGTTCTGTATTCGTACCCTACATGAGCCTAGTAATATCGACATTACGACTAGTCATATTAAAGATTGTGGTCGTTTACTCTTTTGCTTTACTTGGCTTTCAATAAAGGTATCATTGTGATATATTATAATCCACAGTGTATAAATAAAACTAGCAACGTTTAAATATTCATTATAAATTCTAATTTATTTTTCAATAGTTTCGACATTATCGTCGATGCAACTGACAATGTTTCCACACGATATCTACTCAACGACCTCTGCGTCCTTCAGAACAAGCCTTTAGTATCAGGGTCGGCTTTGCGATGGGATGGCCAGCTAACTGTGTACCACTATAACGGGGGCCCATGCTACCGTTGTGTGTTTCCACGGCCACCCCCACCAGAAACAGTTACTAACTGTGCCGACGGAGGCGTGCTAGGTCCCATTACTGGAATTATTGGCTCAGCGCAAGCATTGGAAGTGATCAAGATAATTCTCAACGAGCGTGAAGGTTTGCTTTCATAGTGGATGTTTGCGCTGTACAAGTAATTGTAAATAGATTAGGGTAGTTGTTTGCATTAAAAAATATTCTGAATTGCCCCTTTAATTATGCTAGCACTGAAAAGACCAAACACAAAGTGTAGGGAGCTTGCTTTTAAATTTGAGAAGTGATTCAACGTCCAATTGAATTACCTCGGCCGATTAGATTAAGATTATACAGTTGTAATACAGATTCAACAAGTTTGTATATTCCAGCGGTGCATTTTTTTTCTAAGTAAATCCACTCTTTAGCATAAGGCGCCAACCACTTCAAGTATATTCTGCCAAAAATTGTCAAAAAACGCGAAGTATGGATCTATAAGAAATTCTGCCAAACTGAGTTTCTCAATAATGACAAAATTAATATAACTTTTCACTTGTTGCATATATTTTTTTAATATATCAGCTCCTTATTAATGTACAATCATCTTCGGAGGCCTGTGGAGTCCTTTTCTGATTGTTGACAGCGGAATAATGATTTCAATATTTTTTTATTGGATGTTTTAATCACAATTTTTGTTCTATTAGGAGTAGCCTCCGGAAAGCTTCTTCTGTTGGATGGTTTGGCTGGGTCTTTTCGCAATATTCGGCTTCGGTCGAGGGACCTAAACTGCGCAGTATGTGGTGATCACCCTACGATCAAAGAACTTGTCAACTACGAAACTTTCTGTGGTGTGACAGCCTCTGATAAAACTTCCTCACTTAAATTGTTACCAAACGACGATCGCTATACGCCCGAAGTAAGTGTGACAATTATAACGCGATACTATCTCCTCGAACTAGATTTGAAAACCAACTTCTACATACATTTTATTGTTTGACTTAGAATCAAACAAGTGTTATCCGCTGGGGCATGGCGAACTTATGAATTTATTTTTATTAGCAACGATTATGTCTGATTCACAAAGTATATTGTAATTAGAGACACAGAATATAATTATAAGTTTACTGATGAATGCAAAATTCCATTTTCAGGAATTTCGAAACAGACTACTAAGTGACGCAGCCACTAGGGTTGTGGACATAAGGCCCAAAACCGAATTTGACCTCTGCCATATACCGGACTCAATAAACGTGCCCTTCGATAACTTTGATAAAGACAAAATTAACAGTGAATTTAGCGATGGCACTGTAATTATTTGCCGACGAGGAAACGATTCACAGCGCTGCGTTCAAGTACTTAGACGACAAGGAATCTCTACGAAAGACGTTAAAGGTGGCCTGGCGGCATGGGCTATGTTAGAAGGAGTTTCATTTCCAACATATTGAAACGAATTATTAAATACGTTTTTTTAATACAAAAGACGTGCACCATATTTGTGCGTAAATGCAAGGGGCGAGATCTTTATGGAACTCTGAAAAATAATGAAAACGAATAGGGCGTAAAGGCTAAGAGTATGCTTTCATTCTCGTGACTCGACGGGAGGCATACATACAATTGTTTTTCAAACAGTATTTTGTGGCGTCTGTGCGTTTTATAGTTGAGGTACCACCACAAAAGTTCAATATGTTCAAATAAAACCTTTGTTCATGTTTACTGAATAAGCCGTCCTAATTGGGACTTTCCGTTATGAATGGTTTCTAAGGCTACGAAGAGTTCTACGTTTGACAAAATCCAGGTATTTAAAAAAGACACATCCTAAAGGTATCATTTTTTCCGGTTGCGTTTATTTGATGAATTTCCTTTTACTTCGATTACAGATTAAATTTCGTCTTGAGCCATTCAAAATCTGATTTCAAATGTTCGCATTTCATTTTTGCATGCGCCTTCTTGATACTACAAGTGAGCGAGTCGTGTTGTCAGGTGGAGACTCGTTAAGTTCTCGCTCCGTGGTAACCTAACGGGTTCAAAACTGAACTGTGTGACGCCCATAAGTGCTCCTTCCGAAACAGGCTCGTTTTCTCAAGCAACCGGTCTTACGTTAATCACCTGATATAAACTGGTGCACCATTTTGCCAAATATATGTAATGTAAATATATACGGATAACATTACCAAAATGAAAATAGCGTACAAAAAGTAAATGTGGTAGATGTTCTTCCGAGACGTACAGAGACAACGCAGACTGACGCATTGACATAGTGTGTGATTACCTTAGCACATATGGTAAAGCCCAATACAGTTCTTAGTTATCTGAAGTTTATCAACTGTAAGCTTTTTCATTCTCAATGTTTTTATACGAGCAGTATTATCGGAATCTGTTTGCTTCACCTGTCAAGTATTTCTTAATCTACAACACCTGCGTACATCAATGGGCAGGTGACAACTCAACTACAAATAAGAATTGAAGATTTCACACTTAAATGTATGAATAATTCCGCGATGGTTACAGACATTAGTCTTAGTAGATACCACGAATTGTATTTTTGTAATCCATACATATGCGACCAAAAGCGATGTAGTCTTAGTGCAAATAGATGCTCGTTCATTCATCCTTCTTACGGGTAGTTGAATGCTTCGTACTTGAATTGTGTTTTCTGCTTGAATGTCGTTATGGAAATTTCTGTGTAGCAAATAGGCATAAGGTTATTTTTCCTTACTACTATAGAAAAATTGTTCATAGCGTTAGCACAAATTAACAGACCATTTTCTATTCAGACCTATTCATCATTCAAAAGTGTTTTTAGATGAGAACATCTTTTCTTCATACATACGAAAGTATATTAAGAATAATACGTCTGTGTCTTGAAATGTATATAAGTCTTAACACTTAAAATAAAAGGGCACACAAAAAGTCTTTTGGGGAACATGGGTATATACGTATAAATATGCCCTCTTTCACTAGTTCTCGGAAAGAAAGACGAAAACGCAATATGTGGCTGTGTTGGAGACAGTGTGAGAATATGCTTTTTTCTTATTATTAAACTGTTCAGGAAATTCGGCTTCTACTCATACCTAGCGCGTGCAAGTCCGGCACTAACAGAAGAGAATGACGAGGCGTTACAGGAGAAAGTTTTAGACAAGATGCAAGAACTCTAACAGGAACTGATAGAACTAAGCGGAAGTGGAGTATGAAGTTTGCATAAAACTTCGTTACATATGACAGCGAGTAAATATGTGAACCAACATAGTATTATCGTTTTCTAAATAGTAAATATATTCGTCTTGGTAATATTCTTTACTTCATTAAACTGTAATACCAACATACTACCAGTAAAATGTCCTTTACCCATTGGTTAAAGGATTAGAAAAAAATACCCAAAACGGCTTCCGTTGCCGAAGATCTGTGCGCTAAAGCTTCTGTTAAGGTTTTTTGTTCGCATTACTTGGTTTAGAAGCGATTCAGGATTTTGAGACGTACTTCAATACTCGGCAACACCTATTCGTCTAGTTTCCTTTGTGAAGGCTGAAACCTCTCAGCAACAATTCTTCTGGGATGTTCAGGAATACGGGTGGCACAATCGGACCCATTTTTGAAGATGCTACGAGTAAGGGAAATTATGATGCCAGCATTAGTCTAAATCGAATGCACAAAAAATTAACATAAATAACTCAAGTAACTTGAAAAAAATACTGAGTCAGAGTTGAAAACTACGTTCCAGGCCTAATGATTGTGAATCCAGCGCGCTACTTCTGCGCATTTTACAACTTGGCTCTTCATAGATAATTATTGATTGAAAATTGGTAAATGTTAATTAGGTACTACTGTATACAAATTAAGTATTTTCTGACAAAGTATATATGTATATATAATTGACAGGGATCTGCCTATTCTCTTTCTATTGGCTATGTTCCTCGTCCACATTTTTATTTGACTAAAACCATCGCAATGATACGTTTATACGAGACACTGGTAGCGGGGGTCTTTTTCGTATTAAGTCTTTACATTATTTTATTCAAATTATGTAAGATTAAAATTGCGAAAAAATATTTGCCAATTATATTATTTTAAATTCATTTGTGAATACAACAGGTACAATTAATGCCACATTTGCATTTAACATTTAATGAATTGTGTGGTTTCGCTTAATACTTTCATACACCTGGTGTAAAATATGCCACTTTATATGTTATCCCACCAGAAGAAGGTCATCTCATTTGTTATCAGGCATGTTAGGTCATTTGTACAATTTGTTGGGTCATTGTAAATATCCTGGTCAGATAAAATGAGATTTTAAAGTGAGCTTCAGAAGTCAAAAAAAAAATATTATTTGCTTTCTAAACTAAAAAGCTGTATATCATTCTGGAAATCATATTTTTGATGCGCCTAAACATACATGAAAACTGTGCTTCTGAATAAACGACTTCCTGTAGCAAGGAATCAACTATGACCATAATTTATTGTGGCAGTATCACAAATAGCCGGATACTTTTTTGCTATCCAGGTTCCATTGAAAACGTAGGAACCCCACACCAAAAACGTTACTATTATTATCGTTATTTCCATATATAAGGCGCATATAATATATATTCGTATTTACATATATAAGGCCTTCTTGTAGGTCTACTAATATAAAAATGCTAAAATAATACTACGTCTAGTTAGCTATAAAATGGCAATCTATGGAAGTGTGTAGGTGTCGAAATTCTGCATTAATAAATAGGTTATTATAACTTGCTTAAGATCACCTAAGTTTTAGTTCATCTTTCTGGTTGGCCAACTAATTGCGCTGACCGAATGTGAAGTAAAATCAAATTAATCAATGAAGAAAGTGCACTCATGTGAAGTGTCAGCAATAACATGTGCTCCTGGCATTGTTCTTGATTCGACATATTTTTACCTCGAACGTTTCCAGTCATAATGCCAACAATGTAATTAACGCGCAGCTTGTTATCATTACCTCAGTAATAACAAGCGCGCATTATTACAAGAATTCAGGAGAAGCAAAGACTCGGGCTAAAGAAATTAGAAGAAGCGACCAGTATTAAGCCAAACTCAATGATTTAATGACAACTGTGTTGCCTATCCATTCGGTGAATAGTATGGCTCCTGCTGCAGTTAACAGTCTTTTGTTACTACTGGCTACAGAATGTATGTGTATCATTCGTACAATATATCCGCCCTCCTGTACCTTCGTCGGTTCAGGGTGATCCACCTGCAGTAATATCTGTGTTTTCAACTTTCGTGCGGTAGCTGCCTCTCTGCTGCCATTGCTTCGCTTTTACTCTGTGAAAAACCTCTCTATCTGTTTGTCGGTGTCTCAGCCGTATGCGGGTTTACAGGACAGCTACTCTTTTCTTCACAGTTTTTTCTTGTCTTCACATTTTGTGTGTATATATCCCAGGTTCTTTTCTATGTGTATACGTATCTATAAATGCATGTGTGTGTAAGCGTATTTATATAATGTTCCTCGACTGCTACGGCCCTTTGATTGTTGCTAGTTCGTCCGTCAGTTGGATCGGCCTTTAGTACTGGGTACCTGTTATATTTGCATATAAACGCACACACACAGAGACAACTGGCAGTATTTTGCTCTATGGTTTCAAGGTCACCTTGCAGGCCCTCCCAAATGCGCGTTCGCTAGTTCCAGTCTCTTGTTAGCCGGTTGGTCGGTCGACGTGCAGCAGCAACAGCAGATATTCAGAATTTGAGACGATGGCGTCGTAATCGTTGCTGCACCGAATGCCGGTCGGTTTTGCTCATGTTGTGCGACGTTTCTCCTGATACTGAAGGGACTGTCTTCGTGGTTTGGGAACGTGGTCACGTCGTTATTACCATTGGGCTGCTGCTGCCACTTTGCTTTGCGTAAATTGAAGATGGGAAGACAACCGAGCTAGTTTGTTAGACGGCCTGTGGTCTCCCTGGCTGCTGACGGGTGCGATAGCGAAGCCAAAACTATTACTAACAGACCACGGACAGAGTTACGCAAAGTGGGAATAACAACAGTAGAAAAAATGCAGCAGCATCGCGCAATTCTTTCCCTCGCTTGAACGCGGGGCTGCTGTTGCGTTCGGTGGCGATGACGGCGGTAGTGCTATAATGGCGTTTCATTACTTCGTTATTGTTTTGTCGCTGTCGTCGTTGGCTCGCTTCTGAACTTCTATCTCATAATGATTAGTCCGTCCAGGAGTATAAAAAAGCTTGTCGAAACTGGCCCGTCAGATCTGCACGGCAGCAGCTAGTACAACCGACGCAGGAGAGATACGAAAACAGTTCTATATATATATATATATATATATATAGCTGCACAGTGGCGAGCTTGATAGAAGTGATGCGTATCCTTTACAGAGAAGTAAAGGAACGATATTAATGTTAATGGCAACCGAAAGCAACAGGTAGCACACGAATATAGGTATACACATTCTGTGTGCATATTGTCATATTATTATAGATAAAGCTATATTGCAAATCAAAAGAGAAACACATGTCATAGAAAATGATCTACCCCTTTATGTATTCGCCATTAATATTACATGTAAGACTTTACAAACTAATGTCTTTTTCACCTTTACAAAATTTTACCTGCAGAAACAAAAAAAAGCCGCACTAAAATACTGATTTTAGCGCTTGTGAACTGAATAGATATTACGCATCTTCAAAGCAAACCGAAGAATTTATAACAGCTAGTGGACTCCAAAATTTATTCTACCAAAGTGACGACGTAAATAAGTAAATATGAGACATAAACAAAATACCACCATTAGTGTACGACGCGAAATCTTTTGTAACATACACGAGAAAAGAGTTATATTATATAGATTTCCTTGAAATCTATAAAAGGTCGTTATATGTTCATTAGTGCTCTGCTACAGCTACCCAAGCACTCTTATCGTATCCCTGTAGTTAAGCTCGCTTTGAAGATTCGTTCGACCTGTCAATGGCACAATTCATTTTTAAAACACAAATAACAAACGCATGAAATCGCTATAGCTCTCCGACGTCAATAGTTTTGATCACTTCAATTAACAGCGACGTATTCTGCATTCGTTACGCCATTTAGCTAAATTAGATAACGTACATGCCTGTATATATAAAAATGAGCCGTATTTTTTTAAATCGTAAATTATCGTCGAACAA